TCTTGAGTTCTTATAATATTAAGAAAATGGACCTGTCGGCCCAGCATGTTAGGCTCACGATTTCAAACAACGTTGCCCCAATAAAATTGTAACCACTAACTTGTAAGGAGAAATACCAACAGCGACAAATGATACATTACAGTAACTTATGAGATGCATAACGCTTGTTCTTATAAAAAAAATTCATATATTGTCACATTCCAATAAAAAAGACATATTATTTGTCAAAATTCATAGTGTCTTAGTCTATCAGGTTTTATGACACACTGACATTATAATAACATATGCATAAAGCTTGTTTCCTCAAAAAGAGAAAATTCAAATTAAAAATGAAAAGAAAAATACTTAAGGAAATCATTTTAAAGGTTAAAGAAGTTAGGGAAAAAAAAAAAAAATGCCTTTCAACCTTTGTTTGTCTCCTACTTACAAAGTTCTTTGTCTCTCCCTATGCACAAAAGGTTTTAGTGTTATCAGTGTTGAGATCCACCACTGTGAAATAATCATCTTTTTCCCTATTTCCCCACTTAACAATTTGGACAATAATTAACCCTATCATTAAACTGTTCCATATGGGCTGTCTTGAAAGGTTTTGTTTGTGCTTTCCATATATATTCCCCCACTTTATGGAGCATTTGTGGAAAATCAGACTTTACAGTGTCTTACTTTGATTAGTTCAGGTAATTTGTATCACAATACTATGTTTTGAATCTTTGAGTTGTTCTTAGAAAAGGACTTCGTCAAGAATTTTGACTAAGGTTAGAAACTTTTTTGTGATGTCAAATTAGAACTGAATTTTTGAAATTTGAAAATAAAGATATATGCAATTATAAGGAGTTTTTTCTTTAATTGTTTGATTTGTGGCATGAGTCCATAGAGCAAGCAATCAATTATGATTGTCCTTTATGACAATTTCATAGAAAAGATATGTTTGGTCTATTATAGTGGATAAGGTTATAGTTTTTGCCTATATGAGTGGGATGGCCAAATGCTATTAAGTTAACTTTCTTTCATATTTGATAAAAGGGAGATGAAATAATGTGGTGGATAAAAAAGTGGGCAACATGTATGGAATTTATCACCATATATGCACTCTCCATGTCTATAATATTGAGTTCAATTTAATTTCATTGGTGCATTATTTTATTTTATAGGTATTGAGCCTCATTAGCTCTGAGTTAGTCTTACAAGAGTAAACACGTTTTTACGTATTCATAGCTCATGGGGCTTATATTTCTTAAAAATTAGTGGAGATAGGATAGAAAATTGGGTTGTTGAAATCTTTCTGGCTGTAAAGATAAACCATTCTTAAAATCAATATGTCAATTGATTTTACCTAAAACGGAATTCGTGTTCTTTTAGAATGATTTGTAAATTAGGTCGACTAGTGGTAATGGAATTCGTTTTCTTTTACTAGTTTTGCTCTCTTGTGGGGTTTTTTCTTTATTTTTTTTATTTTTTATTTATTTTACAGGATTTTGCGGTCGGTTTGAGTACACGTATTAATGGTCTGTTTGTGAACCGAATCGTGGTTATTCACCGGTTCGGATTATGTAATTTTATGACACTCCTTCATTTGAGAAATTGTGGTTTCTTCTGAATCTGTCCCACGGGATGATTTGTTTTCTCTCATCTATTCTGTGTACTAATAAATTTTAAAATAGTTCACTCACACATAATGCACTTTGCTGTGGCAGTACTGTTTTTACTTTTTACCGTGGAGCCACACACTCATATAATTGTGTGTGTTTGTCTGCACTTTGCTGTGGGTATTGTTTTTACCGTGTATCCACACACCCATGTATCTGTGTTTTTGTAAGGTCGAACAGTTAAAAATCCATCCATGTGTGTGTGAGTGTGTGGTAAAATGGTAAAAAATTCTAATCTTGTGATAATTGAGAATGGGGGAGTTATATTGCTCCTATTGTACAAGTGGTTCATTTTATACATATTAAGTGGTTAGTAAGATATTAGTCACTTTAAAAAATGAATAGGAAAAGATAATGTGTCAACATTAATTTTGTAATATTATTATTAATACAAAGAATAAAAAATATAAATTATCACAACTAAATGAATTATGGTATCATGGGTAAATCACCCAAATTTAGGCATTTGATTTTTTTTATTTATTTATTTTTTATATTGTGTTAAATCATGTTATGAATTATGTTGAAGTTTTTGAAGTGTGAAGAAAAGTATTACCACATAGGTAAAATCAATTGAGATATTAGATGAATCAAGGTTGAAATAATAAAGAATGATACGCATATGTTGATTTTAAGAATGGTACAAATTAAATAAATATACAAAAATTATGATATAAAAATTGAAAAAATGCACCGTGTACATCTGTAAATATTCGTGCCGCTAGTTATAATGGAAAAGGATAGATATTTTGATTTTTTCATGGATCAAAGATGGAATGGGATCTTCTTTAATATTATTGGGCATAACTAGTGTGTATCCAGTGCGATGCACGGGAACAATATTAAATTAACAATATTATAAATAGTCCTCGAGTGAGTCACTCAATGGCGGAAGTGAAAACTATTATTGATCCTATTTAAAAAGAGGAAGAAAAAAATAATAATTACAAATTAAAGAAAAAGATAAACAATACTTAATAATTATAAATTAAAGATTCGGGATCAAACAATGTAAAATTATTTTGTATAAGAGAATATAAAAAAAAATGATTATACACCATTTCAAAATTATTATTTTACTTTTTTGTATGCTTAGCTTATAATATTTGTAAAAATATTAGTAATTAGATTGATGAAAATTAGGTTCTTAAAGTAGTGAATTGGTTTTTATTTTATTTTATTTTTTCTTTTTAAAGATAATGGATTTCTAATAGTAATTATGAATTGGTTTCTATTTTATTTTATTTTTTAAATCTGTATAGATAAGGGATGAGATTTTTTAAATACGTGAACATATGCAATGAGATTTTGTAACAGAAGAGATAAACTCGTGTAGATTTATACTAAAAATAAGAAAAAGAAAAACAAATATTTATTGTCAAACAACGGTTTTGATAAACTAAAAAACAGGAAAAAGAGAAACAAATCCTTACACACAAGCCGATTTTTTTGTCTATTCAGATTTGTCCAACAATTACTACATATAAGATATATTTAATGATTTTTACGGGAAAAAGTTTCTAAATTTATAAAAAGGTTATTCATTTTATATAATGATAGATATTATAAAGATGGGAAGGTGTTTGGTTGCCCAAGTTAAGAAGAAATTGGACAAAAATAAATGGGAATTACCAAGTTAGATAAAAAGAATATTTATGGATTATACTAAGTCTAACTCCAAACCATAATTTTCACACAAACCAAATTACGAAACACAAATATTTGCCAAGTCAGCATCCAAAGCGTGTGAGCCTGCACTCTTAAACTCCCCACGTTTTAAATTAAGAGCATCTCCAATGCAACTTTTGACATTATAAAAAGTCATCCATATCATCAACTTTTGAAAGTGTGTCTCTATTTTTTTCTCCAATGCATCTTGTCATGAACTCTTTCATGATGAGGTGGATGTCATTTAATGTTGACAATGTTGAGCACACTTTCTAATATCTAACACCATGGTAAACATGATGAATCATCAATTTACTTTATATTTGTTTTAATTTTTTATTTTTTTGTATCAATGAATTGTTTAATTGGTCCACCTATACAAATAACTTCTTATCAAATTGATGCATTGGAGATACTAGTTTCATTGAAATTTTTAGTCTTTTAACATTATTCCAATGTGGATTAACATTACAATCACTAATTGATATGTATTAAAAATAATGGTCTTTCACATTTATAGCATTGGAGATGCTCTAATATGATATGGGGAATTTTTTACAGTTGGTATGGGCTCAGTTTAAATCAAGAACCGAAAAATCATACTAAATTATTAAACTCGATTTCCAAAAAATTCAAACATTATCATATACGGCTGAACTCGACTTACTGGTAACTATAATGAATTATAGGAATACAATGTACATAGAAAAAAATATATAAATAAATAAATAAAAGGAGAAACATAAAAAGAAATTTGGATTTAATAAATAAAAAAATAAAAAAATAAAAAAATGCAAAGTTTATTATATAGAGTTGGTGGCATTCGTGTGGAAAGCACACTCCTATACCATTTACATATATTATTTCATTCACATCTATGTCTCTCTACCTTTTTTTTAATCTATTTCTTTTATGTAGTCTGTAATTTATTAGTGCTCTCCTCTTCAGCAATCCATCTTCCATTGTTTTCAAATCAGTCAAATGCTTGTGCATAAATTAGGTCACTCCCATTTTAAGATGTGCAAGCATAACATCCCATTGTTCTTTAGAATAAACATTGGATTATTATATATATATATATTTTTTTCATTCATCAAGTATTATTTTTTATTGGACTTGATCAACATATAACATATGTAATCTAAAGCAAAATATTTTGTTACTAAAGTGATTCTTTAATTAATTACCTGTGTACTTTATTAAAAAAAAAACATCCAAGGATACACGTAAATGTCAGCATTATGATAAAAATTCCCTAATATATAACTTTAGAATTTCCTTTATTCTTTGCTAGCTTTTTATCCTTTCTTTAAATGGGGTAGGGCTCAAATCATAATTCATAGCCGCTTGTGCTTAAAGGTAGTAACTAAAGCATTCAATTATATATGTTGAGTGTTGCATTCAATTGAAATAAATCAACAGGATATAAAAAGTTTTGCGTACATGATTGGATGTGTATTTAGGTAGTTTGAACTTTAATTGAATCAAAATTACATTATGTCTTTATAGCTATAAATCAAAATGAGAAAAAGACACCTAACTTATTTTGTGCCTCTCAAAAATTATGTTGTAAATCACTATACAATATTGCATGTGTTAAAAAGATATCATGATATTTGAATACCTCATTGCGTATAATATGTTAATTTCATGTCACATTAGCTGATGGACATGTTAATTTGAGAACAGGACTGAGGCTGTCTAATGGTTAGACAATCCTATTCGCTCAATAAATGCACATATTTTTTAGTTTTACACTCAAATGACATACTTTAAAACACATTATTAACAAAAGTATGATATATATATTTGATATGATAATTAAGAATGCATTTTTTAAAGAACGTGCGACTGATTAACTATTAGACAACGTAACAGTTGCATTTGAGTACACTTAATTATTTAAGTTATACGTTCTATCATAAGAAATTTCAAGAGAATACATAATTTTAAAAAAGAATGGTAGAAATAATGAAAAAGAAACAAAAAAATTTCCCACTTGACTAATATAAGCAAACAAAAATGATGCAAAAAGCAATATGCCCTGCTCCGTATGATCAATCAATCTGTTCTTTTTCCTCATGAAGAAATCGAGTCTGGTGTAACTGCCTTAAAGTGCACCAAACTTTTATGTCTTAGAAACCCGTACTCAATTTGTAGACTCCAAAAGCGTGCAAAATAATAATAATAATAATAATAATAATAATAATAATAATAATAATAATAATAATAATTAACGTCTCATTAATTTATATTTCTTTCNTAATGGACGTGAGGTGTAATAGCCCACCGCTTGAAGATTTTGTTCTGTTAGGAGGGAAAAAGAACAATGAAATGACTTTCTTCTACCAACATTTTTTGTCATAATTTGTCTTCTATGGGTAAGATTTAACGGCAAATTTAAAAGTTAGCAAGCGGTGCAATTTTTCCCGATTTTATGAGGGCCGGTCGACTTTATGGGGTAGTTATTTAGGTCGAAGTTTACATAATTCGTGTCAGTGATTTGGCGTGTGATTTTCTATTCGGTTCCACTCATTCGGGTCATCATTTGACTTTCTCTTACTCGGCTCAGCTCAGCTCTGCTGATTCGAATCTTAATGGCACTGATCGCGCCACGTCTCATTAATTATTAATTACCATTATAATTTGCTATATAACTAATAACTTGTAGTTAATTTGTCTATCTCCCTAATAAAAAAAATATATTCTTGTAGTAGAGTCTGTCTCCAATCCGATATATCGTTGTAAAGATGAAGTATTTGTAAAGATTGATTAATTTTGTAACAATTGATATTCACACTTAAATAGGTTAGAACATAAATGGAACTATGGTTCAAGTGAATGAGAATCCTCTCAATAAGAATTACACTACATTATTGTAAAGAAAAAGTGTATGTAAAGATGGATCAATTTTGTGACAACTGATATTCACACTTAAGTAGGTTAGAACACTAATGGAACTATGGTTCATGTGAATGAGAATCCACTCAATGGGATAAAGTGTTTGTAAAGATTGATCAATTATGTGACAATTGATGATATTCACACTTAAGTAGGTTAGAACACAAATGGAACTATGGTTCGAATTCATGTGAATGCATGAGAATCCACTCAATGAATTACACTACACTGCTGGATTTGTTATGGAAGAATTTATTCATTAGCTCCAAATGTGTATACATCCTGAGATTGCATGATTATTCATCACCGAACCATGAAAGAATTCTGATACATCTGGATAATTAATTACCGACTCATACATCAAATATATAAAGCGGTACATACATGACACATATGATGTTGGCATATAATATTGTCTTGTCCACAAGAATTTTTGTTTAAAGGCCTTTTTTAGGTAGCCAAGCACATATATATACGATGATTGAAAACTCAAGAATCAGAAGTTTGATCTCGTTAGTGTTGGGAATGTGATCACATTCACTATCCTGTTGTCTTTCTTTTTCTGTTTTACGTTTAGCTAATTAATGTCGCGTTTATGCTTAAAACGCTTTCTTTAAGTCTTCTTTTGTGACTATCATCACAGACGACGTCGTATTGGGTTATGCATGTGTATGACGTGTGTTCTGTATTTGGAGGATGGTGCACCACTTCAGCAACCTGATCAATACAGGAGACTCATTGGCAGGTTGTTATATTTGAACATGACCAGGCCTGTCACTTACTCAGTGCAGCAGCTAAGTCAATTTGTAAGTTCTCCTCATACATCTCATTGGGATGTGGCCCAACACATACTGAAGTATCTCAAGGGAACTGCATCCCTTGGCATCTTCTTTCCTTCTGACAGCTCTTTCTCCATCAATGCCTATAGTGATGCTGACTGGGCTTCATGCAAGGATTCTCGCATGTCCATCACAGGTTATTGTGTGTTTCTTAGTGACTCCTTGATTTCTTGAAAGAGCAAAAAGCAGCAAACTATCTCAAAGTCCTCTGCTGAGGCTGAGTATAGGGCCATGAGCTCGGTTGTTTTAGAGTTGCTATGGATATCCTTCATTGCTCATGACTTTTAGCTGCAGCTAAAGCTCCCATTTCTTTTATGGTGTGACAATCGCGCAGCTCTTCACATCACTGCCAACCCAGTCTTCCATGAACGCACGAAACATCTTGAGCTTGATTGTCATTTTGTGCGAGCAAATACAAAGTCGGCTTTGTGCTACCTTAATTTGTGAGCTCTCGGCAACAACTTGCAGATGTCTTTACCAAAGTCCTCACCGGTTCACCTTTTAAAGAGTTGTTGGTCAAGTTGGGAATGCGTGCTGCTCACCATGGCCCAACTTGAGGAGGGGATGTTGGGAATGTGATCACAATCACTATCCTGTTATCTTTCTTTTTCTGTTTTACGTTTAGTTAATGTCGTGTTTATGTTTAAAACGCTTTCTTTAAGCCTTCTTTTGTGACTATCGTCACAGACGACGTCGTATTGGTTATGCATGTGTATGACGTGTGTTCCGTACGTACACTGCGTATATTAGTAGGTTTTCTGCATTTTGTACTTTGATTTCTTTGATTAATGAAAATGAGGTTTATCCTCCCAAATATGAGCGATTAAGCTTTCTTCAGTTAGCACATCGATCGGAATAAAAACTTTCATGTTTTTTTTTTTTACCTCAAGCTCGTTAACTAGTATTAATAAATTAGTCTAACTCAAACTTGTTTATCGGCTCATTAATTAGTCATAGTTCGGTTTTATAAAGATTCTTGTATAAGAAACTCGGCTTGTTTATCCTCGAACAAGGTAAAAAATAAAACTAAAAAGAAAATGGTGGTGCATGGCCCACTCACCCACTATAAATCAAAATTAATTTTCTTTTTTCATTCTATAAGTACCACATCCCAAGGCGTGTGGCAACCACACTATACCACTCTCTCAATCTCCAAATTAACCTCTAACAAACATTTCCCTTGGTAACAACAATAAAATGGACACCGATAAATCCCAAAACTCCGATTTCAAAATATCCCTCTCAATCGAGGCCCCTCCGCCGCCGGCCGCCGCCTCGCCGGGCCTCCTCGAGCGCGGGGAGGACGTGGACCGTTTCGACTACTCCAAGCGTGCCCAGTGGCTGCGCGCCGCCGTCCTCGGCGCCAACGACGGCCTCGTCTCGACGGCGTCGCTGATGATGGGCGTCGGCGCCGTGAAACACGCGATGAAGGTGATGATACTGACGGGGTTCGCCGGCCTGGTCGCCGGCGCGTGCTCCATGGCCATCGGCGAGTTCGTCTCCGTCTACTCGCAACTCGACATCGAACGGGCCCAGCTGAGGAGGGAGAAGGAGCGGGAGGCCTCTGGCTCCGCCGTCGGCAGCGGCGGGGATGGGGAGAGGTTGCCGAATCCGATGCAGGCGGCGGCGGCGTCGGCGCTGGCGTTCTCGGTGGGGGCGATGGTGCCGCTGCTGGCGGCGTCGTTCATCGAGGAGTACAGGGTGAGGATGGGGGCGGTGGTGGCGGCGGCGAGCGGCGCGCTGGCGGCGTTCGGGTGGCTGGGGGCGGTGCTGGGCGGGGCGCCGGTGGGGAGATCGGCGGCGAGGGTGCTGATCGGGGGTTGGCTGGCGATGGCGGTCACGTTTGGGCTCACGAAGCTGATTGGTTCGAAGGGGCTTTAAAAATTAAATTAAATTAAATTAAAGTTTGTTTTTATATAATCGACGTGATTTGTACTAATTAATTATTACTTGTGAAGTGAAGCTAGGCGCGCCTGTATAAAATAATTAAAACTGTTCTTTTTTCCTCTAAAATTTTCAAAATCTTTATTTTCTCATTTTGAGTAAATCTAATGAGGAGAGAGTGGCGCGAGAGAAGGAATGAGATTTTTCGATTTGGTTTTGGTGTTCGATTCGTGTTTAGTTCTGTTGTAGCAATACGTGAAACTTGAAACATGAAAGTCGAACAAAAAATCATATGAGAACGCAAATATGAGAGTTTTTAACCTAATTGGTCGAATTGTGGTTTAATAAAATGCTTTAATGCTTCATATAATTGCATGCCATTAGAGTGTGATTATAACTTTATTCTATTTTTTCTCTTTTTTCCTTTTTTAGTGGAAAAGTGAAGCAACTACTAGAAGATAAGCAACAAAAGAGGTGATATTTTTTTGAGCAAATTTTTGTGTGAGATGACCTAGACAAATCAATCCATTGTATCTTTTTTTTTTTTTTTCNAAATGCATACTTAAATGATAGAGTGAGATATTTTTGATTTTTTTCTTAATAAACATGCATATTTAAATGATAGAGTGAGATATTTTTGTTTGTATGTTTTTCAGATTATTGACATTTCAACTTAAAAGTATATATATTTATTGCAAAAATATGATTCTCTAATCAGGTTGAGTTTGAATAACAACCTCCTTTTATATAAACCGGTAATTTTGTATATGTGTATAAAGCATTGTATTAAATAGCTCGTTATAGAGTTTTTTGTTTTTCAAAAAACGCCTCGTAGCCTAATATATTTATCCTTTGTCTCGAAAAGCTTATGCAAAATGTTGAAATGACACTTCTTTTTTCGCTATTTTGCATTATTTCACGTTATTGTACGCTATATTGTACTAAATTTCTGCAACAACATCTAAATAATAAAATATTCAAAAACACGTATTTTTTAGGGATCAAAATTATATTTTCAAATGACAACTAAAAACAAAAATTTTTTATAATGATTTCAAATTAAAAGTTTAAAATGAAAAGTCCAAAGTTGAATAGTGCAATATTTATCGGCCCATTTCTATTATATCATTTTATTTTGCAATATTTGACATTAAATAAAGAAGAAGAAGTTCATATCTAGTGGCTAGAATTAAGTTGTAGTTAAATAAAAGATAATAATTTAAATGCATATAATTAAAACTAAACTATGACTTACCTCATTATATTTTCGTTGTTTATTTTTATTTATTATTTAAGTATTTATATTATGATATTTACATTTAAATTTTGTGAGAAATATGTTATTTTTGAATTCATTCAAATATAATTATGATAATTTTTGGAATCAATCATCTAGTTTATTTATATGAAAATATATTTATAATATTTCTATGAAAAATAATTATATTTAAATAGTTTACGCAACATATAACGCTATTTACGCTACATAGCATAAAGGCCAAAACGCAACGTACTACGATATACGTGTTTTAAAACATTAGTGTAAAGGCATAAAATTTGTTATATGAAGCATTTAATTTACTAGTGCTTCTCTCTCTAGAACAATCTCCAGGGCTCCAGAACTAAAATTAGTAAAGTGGAAAGGTATAGAAGGAATAAAGAAATTCAAAAGAGTTATGTCCAAATTTAGTGGGAGATACCTCCTTTGCTCATGGATGGTAACTATAGCATTAACAAGAAAAAATATTATATATTCTACAATAAAGATGATCCATCTTTCTGTACAAGGTGATCTATGGGAGATTAATTGTTGTATATGAGACAGTTTCAGTTATTTATCTCATTGAATTAACAAATAAAAAAAATCATTTTAATTAATATTCATCTCTATCTCATTTGCTCTTTCAAATCCTACTAATAAAATATAAAATTAAACAGCAATCGTTAATACATATTTATTAATAAAATTATTATTCATCCACTCACATACTCCTAACTATAAATAACTAACAATTAATATTATATTATTTTCATATGAAATCTACTTTAATCATTATATTTTTATCCTATATACATTTAAAATATTAATTTTAATTCTCATTTTTTAAATTCTTTGTCTTTTTTACTCTTTCTATCACTTTTTCGTATCATGCAATTTTTGAGGGGGAAAAAAAAAAAATCTTATATACAATCGCAGGCTAAATTGGGCCCAAACATTAATGTCTCAATCCTAGGTATAAATCCTATAGCCCAATAGGCGTGTATAACCTTATGGATGTCCAGCTCTAATTGGGGAAATTTTCATTTTAGAGTAAATCACGAATCAACCAAGAAACTTTTTAGATGGTTTTTGAGTCATGTTTAGTTTATCACTTTTTTAATATATCGCCATCATAAATCAGACTTATGTTTGATTCAATAGCTTTTCACGGTAATTTGGAATTTATACCCACCCTACCCTCTGTATTATCCTATCTTTTAGACCCAACTGAGCAATAACAATCTAACAATGCACCTATGAGCTAGTAATCTAAAGGCTAATCCGAGTCGTTGCCCGATTTGAAATCGATGTTCCTTAGTCTTTTAGGGTTCAGTAATTTATTTGGGCAAAAATTGAATTTTGGTCTTCTAAGTTTTGGTACACCAACTTTCGCCTCATCAAAAATAGTCCACTATGTACAATTTTCATTAATTTTAAGTACAGTAATCCTGAGAGGCCTGATTACGTGATGACGTGGACAATTGTAATCCTTTCATGTCAAAGTTCTATCTATCCACGTCGCTTTTTGTCCACGGCATCACGTAATCCGGCCTCTTGGGATTACTGTACTAAAATTGACGAAATTGTAACATAGTTGACTATTTTTTATGAGGAAAAAGTTGGTGTACTAAATTTGGACAATGGCTAATTTAGAGGACTAAAATTGATTTTTTGCCTTTATTAAATTAGTATTTCAATAGGTAGTTCTTAGTATGCAAGCAAGTAATAAGTACGGATTAGTCATTTATGAATATAAATATGTAAGCTTTTGAGATATGAAAAGATTATGAATTGAGTTGTATCTTGTACCTCGAGAGTTCTCGTTAATTCGAAGAATAAGTTTGGAATTTGTACTCACGCTTTATCAAGATACAAACCAGTTTGCATCAGAAATTGTGTTAGTTCCACTTGCATGAAGAAGTTCTTAATGTCAAATTCTCTATGATATAGTTGAATGTACATAAGATTCTACATAAAATTTAACCCTGCCTCATTAAATTCGATACTGACTTATAAATCGTACGGTTCGTACCCCAACTCTGAATAAATAAATAATAAAGTTGACTTTGACTACGCAACATCTAGTCTAATTACATGTATAGGCTATTGGTGTTACGGACCTACGGTCGCACTCGTACAATGTCAGCAAATCTTTTTGGCTCTCTTTTTTTCCAATCTTCAATTGTCTTCGGTGGTATTTCTCTTTTGGTTAAACAAATATCAAATCCAATAAATAACAAGTATATACTAACAAACCACGAAAATATAATTATGTAACAAATTATTAATAGCTAAAACGCTTTTGTGTTGTTTGTGCCGTTTATAAATGTCTATATAATGACTAAAAATAAGACAAAAAATCAAATGAAAGAATCAATGCCGAAGGTCATAAATGTACTCTCTTTAAGATCTTCTTAAATAGCCTCATTTATTACTCATGGTTCACGAATAACGCTTCTAAATTATAATGATTTTTAATTTGGTATAACGGTAAATCAAATTCACAAGACTTCTGTTGACATCCGAGTTCACCTCGAAAGGAAATCGGACATACGGCAACTCCCAAAAGCCGAACCGGCTCGCAAACCCGAACCGGCTCACTCCCGAGTGCCGAGCTGAATTCCGGATTTGATTGACCCTGACATCCCCGCGGGTTCATCCACAAGCCCGGACGAGGGAAACTTAATCCGACGGCTCAAACGCAATGTCGTAATCCTCACGCGCCCAACAAAAATCGACGCTCGGCGAAGCGACACGCCGTTTGACACGGGTGAATCATGCGACGCCACGTGGAAAGTCACTGACGTGGCGCGACTTTCCATGGCCGACAGGAAGCGTAACGGGCACGTCGCATTAAATGACCCGCCGCTTCAGATCTGAGGGAGACGCACACGACGACAAACGAGAAAACTTCGCCAAGTTAAACTCGCATACCGGACTCACACGTCGCCGAGCTACGACCAAAATAAGTGAACTCGGACGCATTCGAAAACGACTACCTCACAGGAGATACCGAAGGCACCCCCTCCGAGCTCGGGGGCCTGTATGTTGACATCCGAGTTCACCTCGAAAGGAAACCGGACATACGGCAACTCCCAAAAGCCGAACCGACTCGCAAACCCGAACCGACTCACACCCAAGTGCCGAGCTGAATTCTGGATTTGATTGACCCTGACATCCCTGCCGGTTCATCCACGAGCATGGCGTTTGCGACATCCAAGTACCGGGGCCGACTTGGTGGGTGACGGGCTGGAGAAAGGCTCCCCTAGGCTGGAAGAACAAAACGAGATCGGGAGCCGGCCTGAGGTTCTAGGACGGTTCCCCCAGAGACAGATGTCGAGCCCGATAATAATATAATAATGCCACTTGGAGAGCAATCATTGGTGATTGGACGGGACGCCGTAGCCTGAAGGTCTACATCCACTAGCCAAGACATAAAACCTGCCAACATTAATGACTCTCATGTGTGCATTAAATGCTTGTCAGGCAATGATGAGGAAAACCTCAAATCGCATTAAATTCTGTCAGGGAGACGCCGAACTGCTCTGCCAGAGTACTGTATGACAAGACTGGTGAACAGTACCTGAATAGTGCCACATTTAAGGCCACTATAAATAGCAACCCATCTCATTTATTTCTGGGTTGTTGAATCTCCAACTTTCAGACTCTCTCTCTAATTTTTCTCTCTAGACTTGTAATAAACCTCTGTAAGGATATCGCAAGTGCCGACGTCGTACGAGAGGCCGACCTCGTGATCGATTAATAAAATCATAATTAAATTGTATTTTCTTCCCCTTTTCTTATTTCATATTTCTTATCTTGTTTCTTTAACCGTTGGCCGGAAACGTCCGTCAACAACTTCAACGAGCAATAATCAAACTTTGGAACCCTCAAGATAGAAAAAATAAACACAAGATGTTTTGTAGAAGTTTTAAATAATGCAAAAGAGTTCTTAAAATATGATATTTGAATGGTATCACGTTCATGGTATTCATAGATATATTTGGACATCTTTAGGGAGTTTATTGTGTCAAAAGACATCTTTTAGGTCATGTCGATCATCCAAAATTTAGTTGTAACCTTTTCAGCACATGCAGGTGCATTCAGGTCGTAAGCTTGTCACACCAACTTATGGGTTGTTCAAGTCGTTGCGCCCACAAAATTAGTGCACCGTGAGCCTATACGAGCTCATCAAACTTCAAATTGTGCCCAGTTTTTTCCTACTTGTCTTGAGCGGAACTTATTAGAGTTCTAACATGTCCAATGCATGATTATAGCTCATTTAACTTGTTCAAGCATTCGTCAAAGATTGAACGTATGCAAATTCAACAATCTTTGAGCTGCTTATAAAACCAATCGGAAATGCTAAGGATTCATCTGATGGTTCTATTATGGAGCCATCGGACCCATGTGGCATCACATGAGACAAAAAAAATATGGCCCACACTTACACTTTCATTGTCTCATGTAATGCCACATGGGTTCAATGACTCCATAACGGAACCATCGGATGGCTCCTTAACATTTCCGTAAAACCAATTTTCCCATATTTTAACTTAGAATTAATTTTTGTTTCACCTTAAAAATTAATTTTTAAAATTTTATTCTAAATATTCCACTTACAAAAATGTGAAACCAAATTTTCTTACAATTTTAATGTTTATATATGATAACTTTATATCATCAATTGAGCAACTGCTAGTAAATGTATCATAAATTTGTATGTGAGGCAACGCAATCGTCAGAAACGTCGATCTGTCATATTTTATGAATAAAACTACATATTTATATTATTAAATGTCACATTTATATTGATATTTAAATATGACATTTGATACTAAATGCATATTTAAAAAGAAAAAATATATATGTCCGCCTAATAGTTATGCAGCCCGCGGGCCTACCATTGCTTCTATAATGACTATCTCATAAGGCGTGTGGCAGCCATGCTCATCTACAAGCAACGAACAAACACTATAATTCTTTCCAATCAATAAGCAACTAAACTTTAAGCCCTTCAAATGGCTTCCAACCAATCTCAAAACCCTTACTCCAAACTCTCCCTCTCAATCGAGGCTCTGCCGTGGGCAGTTTAACGGTTAGACGAATCGACTCGTCTGAACTTTTCGAAAAACAATGCACACTTATATAGTTATATTGTAAAATATCGTATTTTTGCTTCATTTGTTTTTTTTAGTGTGACATTCGAGAATGTATACAGCTATATTTCAGTTCCTGCTAATCAAGCATATAATATAGAAAGGGCAAGAGGCCAATAAAGGCCATTCATTTCAAACTGACCAACAGAAGCTATGTTCTTTCTTTATTACAGAAAAAAAGAGTCATTTGCAGATTGAGAAGCTGAAAGTGAGGGGAAAGAAATGTTATACAATCTGATTATTTTTGCTCTTCAGCAGCATACAATGCTTTGATCTCTTCAACATCGTCATAGCTACCCAGGAATATCGGCGAACGCTCGTGTATCTTTGTCGGAACCAAATCAAGTGCCTACACACACACACACACACACACACAAAAAAAAAAAAATTTTGAGCTTTTAGCAGAAAACGCAAGAATAAAATGATAACTTCTATCATACATATATATGAATCCCTTAAAAACAATTCAAATTTCACCTTTTTGGCTTCTAAAGCTTTTATTTATTTATTTATTTATTTTTTGTGTTCTTCATATTTGATTTATAGATTGTCACTACATTTGCGAATTTCGAAATCTCACCCTCTGCTTTCCGGTGAACGCTTGTCCTCCGGCTTGTTCCATTAAAAACGACATGGGGAAAACTTCATAGAGGACCCTGTTTCACAAAATTACCCATTTACCCTTGTTTAAGTTCAGTTTTTCGAATTCATCGAGTTAACTTAAACCAATCATGCAAAAATCGACACCTCAATTTTCCATTCGGGCTCTTTTTATCAGCTGGATACAAAAATATGCCTCCATAAAGCAACGTACGGTGAACATCGGCTACCATGCTGATCAGAATCGAAAAATTCAAAAACGAAAAAACTCTTAATAATGCTCAAACATAATTTTTTTTTTGCCACAGTACATGATTATTTAATGTATATTACAAATTTTGATGGTGAAAATCAATTTCGAAACACATTAAGTTATACGACCATCTTTTTTCTTGTCCCGGTTGGTAGTATATTATATTATACTTGTGAGTTACATTTTATTAAACTCCTATCCATTTTTGAAATGTTAAAAATGAAAAGTATGAGCTATATATGGGCTACATATGTTCGAATAGTTATGTACCTTCCAATGTATCTTAATGATTTTGACGGTGATCCATCTTTCGGAAACTTGCATTTTTCCACGTACCTATTGTTCATTACAATAATAATAAGACTAGTACGTAACCCGTGCGATGCACGGGATGTAAAATTTGGAAGAATAATATAACCTCACGTGCATTAGGATCGAAATTGAAATCATTAAAATACATAGGAACATTGTTGAATCATAAAAGTTTGGTAACAATCATATATTATTAAAAACCTCCTTGTACACAACACAACATTATGAATTTGATTATTCCAGGTGAAAAAAAACGTACAGTCCCGATTGAAACACCACAGTCGATATTAGACGACCCGTCCAGTGGGTCAAACACTACGCAATACCTACACGTTAAAAAAAGTTTATAAAATAAATAAATAAACAAAATGAATTCTTAACCAAATAGAGTCATACACCAGCAAAACCAAGCATCAAACGAGTCTGTAATTATGATTTCTAATCAAGCTTGCATCACAATTGAAAATACTTGTATATAGAACATTTGAATGAAGAAAACATACTTTCCACGCTTAGAAGGCTCAACAAATGTAGCCTCGTCGTCTTCTTCAGAGACAAGTATGCACTGCAAAAGTAGCAAAAAAACCTCCTTAGCACAAACCATCTTTTTAGCCTCTAACTAGTAACTACATATACTATTATCGAAAAACATTTTCAGCAACATACAGTTCGGCCGCTACTGACTAATGCGTTGATGAAAACTTCATTCGAGAGTACATCAAGTTTCTTCTGCTCTTCACCCTTTGATCAAAATTAAAACAAACAATAAATTCAGCAATTACAATCTAACATCACATGTATATTATACAGAGGCACGTCGTAAAATTAATTTACCTGCACGTTGGTTTCGCCAGCAAGCCCTATGAGTTTCGCCAGACCAGCCTGCAAACCAAAATATTGAAGGCTTAAATATTACAAATGCAAAAACACAATAACAGGGGGCCCTTACATAATTCATAAAGCACAATCAGCTAGCCACCTTTTAGATGGTCCACTGAACAGCTCAAATAAAACATCTTTAAATAGGGTTGAAAAAACTAGCAAATACCATCATCCTCAAAATACAAAACTTGCAAAAGAACAAAAGAATTCACGATCCATAATCACAGAAAGGTATTCAAGTAGTAATCTTTTTTTTTTCTTTTCTTTTTTGTATATTTTCTTTTAAATTCTCACATAGAACTGCAGAACACCAATATGACAACATTTACAGCACAGCCCCATGAAAGTCTCTAGCTTCCGTTCAAAAAACTCAAACATCCCCACATAAACCCACATCAAATTCTGAATAGAAAATAACTTAAATCCATAAAACAAAAAATCACAATCAATTAAACCCCCTACATAAATAAAACCCACAGCAAATTCTGGATGGAAAACACCATTTTTAGAAACAAGGATCATGATGTCTAAATTAATTGAGAAAAATAAAACAATCACCATCAATAAAAATCCGACCTTGTTAACAGCAGAGCAAACGAACTTGCAGCCAAGAACGATATGACTGAGCAAAATAGTGAAATCCCCACGCGATTCAGGGTGCTTCGACTGCTCGTTCAGCACGTGACGCGTTATCGTCATCAAATCCGTCCGGTGAGCGTCCGCCGCGTGATCCATCGCCACCAAATCCTCTTCGTACAAGTACAACACAGTGTGTTTTGACCACGCACTCTTTCTGCTATTTCTTTTATAATTCCAAGAAACTTTAGAGGGCTCAGTCTATGTTATATATATCCATTTTTTTATTATGCGAGCCAATGTTCTTTATCGAGTAAATCTTGGACCGTAGATCGAGGAAAGGCGAGAAAAACCAGAAAAGAAAAAATCAAAAAAGCTGACGCATAGGCGTGTGTGGATAGGCATGGGATGAGGCAGCAGTGGAGAGGAAAATGGGTGCCAATAACATAATAATACTATCTCTTATTATTATTATTTTCTCCTATTTCGGAAGGAATTTTCTTGGGTGACACGTGTGGTGGCCATGGCAAGGTTCTTCTTTCTTTTTCTTTGGGAAGATAATTTGATCTTTGTTTGGTGTATTGATTCATCTTGGTGCTGTGTAAATTGATTCTTTGTTCTTATTCTGTCAATAGTGTTGTAGATTGTTGTTTTGTGTGGGATTATGGCTCAGCGGTTAGATGGGTCTTGTCTGGTTCTTGGGGTTTTGTGAGATGATGGCAAGATTTAGTGTGATTGGAAATTTATGAAAATGGATAAAAAAACGTGTGAATTTGTTGACTATGGTTAATAATTGTGGCAAGTGGGCCGAGATGAATCGACCTGTGCCAGTTGACCAGTGTTTCGGGCCCAAGCCATAACTAAGACTATTTTTCTTTATAAAGGGGTTTAATGCACCAAACCCTCCTATATTATACGAAATCTGCGCGTTTCTTTCCTGTATTTTAAAAATTGCGTTAGACCCTCTTCTATTAAGGTTTTGTATGCGCGAAACACCCAAAATTTAGACGTTTTAGGGTGTTTCGCGCATACAAAACATTAATAGAAGGGGGTCTGACGCAATTTTTAAAATACAGGGGAGAAACGCACATATTTCGTATAATAGAAGGAGGTACTATATATTTTACCCCTTTATAAAGTGTTAAATTGTCTAATTATTAGTTTATATGTCTTTTATANAGAAAGTTTCTGCAACAAATTATCTTACTTTTCTTACTTTTATCTATATTGTATTTTGAGATAAATATTTGAATATGCAAGTGTGTAAATTTGTTTAAAAAATGCTTGAATGTAAGGCTAATAATTGAGTACTTAATACACCATCATATTAGTGGAATTTGGGAAGGCTATATAACATGTTGGACATGTAAATTGCTTGTGATCTAAAAATTAACATGCGAGTGAAAATTTCCCTAAACGACAATATTGTGTTGTTGGAGATATAAATTGCCTCAAACGTTGACCACGGGTCTTGACTCGACACGTGATTTTATCTGGGCCAGTTTAGCTTCGGTTATTTTTAAAAATTGAACCGTTCGACGATTCGACGTCGAAATTTTAATTCAAAAATTGAACTTTTATTTTTATTTTTGAATTTTTATTATTTTTTTTATTTTGCATTTTGGCCCTATACCGGAGAGTCGGTTCTTAATCATGAACAACCAATTCATTGAACCGGTCAGTATATATTATCAGGCCAGTTCAGGCTCACCAAAACGTTATCGGAACCAGAGTTCCGATCCAGAACCGGCGGTTCCAACTCGGAACCGAAAAATGGCCATGACAAATGCTAGTGTTACGTTGCTTAACCATTATATAATCATATTTTCTTATTAAAAATACATATTTATATTATAAAATGTCATACTTATGTTTATAATGTAATTTAAACTATGACATTTAATTATTAAAATATGTATATTTGTTTGCATGAGTATGTCTGTCTAACCATTAAACAACCTAACAGAATACTACAAAAAAAGTGACAGTGTAACCATCAACCTAAATTGTTATCAGCTCACAAAACCTTTTTTCCATGTTCAGTCTGTAAAATAGTTGTCGACTCATGACTACGCATATTGATTGCTAACATGATAGAGCACGACACGATTTAAAAACACAAATTCTTAGGCGAAGCAGCATAACCATCTTAGAAAAGCTCCTACAAAAGTATTGCAGAAAAAAGTTAATTAACTTCATCTCTAATTTCAACTTGACTCAATTACATATTGTTTTGGAGGAGGCAAGATCTTCTTCAATTTATCAATCAGGCCCTTCAACTCCTCAAATCTCCCCAACTCCCCCACCTCCCCTAAAACCCTCTCCATCATCAACACAACTCTCTCACTCACAACCCTTCCCCTCTCCAACATCTGCTTACAGCATAAAAACGCTTCTTCGACTCTCCCACAAGCACAAAGCCCCGTCACCAAAAGCTCCAGCGCATGTCCATGCGGGCACTGCCCTTTCCCCACCAAATAACGCCACAAATCCAAACCCAAATCGACCCTCCGATTTTCGCACAAAAACTTCATCAGCATAACCGCCGTTCGAGCCTTTGGCACGAAATTTTTCCCAATCATTTTCCTATAAAGCGTGCAAACACCCTCGACACTGTCAACACGAATAAAACCCGAAAACATGCTGTGATAAGTAACATCATCATGCTCGATTTTTTCCTTCTCCATCTCGTCCATTAACTTTACGGCCGAACACAAATCTCTCGATCTTATGAAAGAACTCAAGAGTGCATTGTAAGCTCCCGTATCCGCCTTTAAGTTCCTTTTCGGTATTTCATCGAAAAACAGATTCTTGGCCTTTGTTACGTTCCGGCACAAACCGGCTCCGTGGATTAGAGTGGTCATAGTTTCCAACGTGGGCCCGCACCCTTTACGTTCCATCTCGTCGAGAAGTCTTAAAGAATCCCCAAAATGCCCTTTCTTGCAAAACGCGTCGATTCTGATGCTATACGTGACGTTATTCGGCACGAAACCTCTCCGGACCATCTCGTGGTAGAAAAGCTCGACGGTCGTAACATCTCCCGACTCTTTAAATCCTAATAACAAGATGTTCATCGTTTTGGTGTCGGGAGGAAATCGAGAGTGCATCTTATGGAAAATAGATCGGGCCTCCTTCATTTGGCGTTGGGTGCAGAACGCGCGGAGGAGGACATTGAACTCGTTCGTGCCGAATTTTTTATGAGGAAATACGTCGTTTTGCAACCTCTCAAATGCTTCTAAAGTCTCTTCGTAGGATTTGAATTTCGCGATCCTTGAGAGAAGGATGCTCATGGACTTGAGAGTGAGCAAAGAAGGGTGGGCCCGTTTTATTTTGTATATCAATTCCCACGCTTTGTCGAAATAGCGCATGCGCGTGAGTATGTGGAGGGTTTTCTCGAAGGCGCCAGGGCTAGGAGTGTATTGGTCGCTTTTGAGGCAGTATTTGAAGAGTTCATACGCTTTGAGGCCGTTAGAATGGGCTCCGAATAAGTTTCCGAGGATTTTCTCGACAAATGGAGCTGAAAGTGCGGATTGGGGAATTTGAGAGTGGAGAGTGGGGTGTAATGGCCGATCGGGAAAAGGATGCTCGTTGATGAGTCTTACGATTCTTTCGATTTCAGACTGTGTATCCATTTCCCTCATGGAAGAACTGAACCGGGCAGTGTTCGGGTTTCGAATGACGCGTAAAATTCGAGCAAGATTATGATTTTTGCTGCTGATAAGCATATCTTTGTCTTCACAGCCAAAATACAGTTCTTTATGCAACTCTGTAAATCAATTTAAAGTTTCTTCTTTCAGGGCCGACAATTGATGTTCAAATACTAACGAAAAATCGCTTCAAAAGTTTAACGAATTGGACACGACATGGAAAACATAAACAGCAGATTCTGCTGAAACAAGAACTAGTAAATAATCGAAGCAATTAGAAGAAAGAACTCAGCTGACCTTTGATTGGAAAAGGTTATCTATCTCTCTGGATACTTCACGGCGTGGAGACTGAACCAAGGTGATTTGTATATATCAAGCAAGAAAAAAGGTGAATAAAACGATGATTACAATTTGCACACAGGCTATATCGTCGATTATGCATTTTATCGAGCACTTTTTGTGCAGTAAACCAGTGACTACACAGAAAGGAAATTCCGGCCATGGCTGGCCGAATGGCAGTTCATTTGCCTCAAATTGAAGCTAATCATTAGTCAGAACAATAATCGATTGCCGTGTGCAAGCTATAATGAGTGTAAAGTGCGATCTTTGTTTATGATACTGCTCGGAGTGTGAAAGTGAACTGAAACTAGTGAAGTTTCGAGTGTATTGTACGCTCAGGCGGCTCGGGTAAGAATTAATCCAGCACAATGGCCCAGATCCATGGCGCTCATTCTAGGCCCAATAAAAACATGGGCCAGGGAGCCGAACTCATTGCTGATTGCCCTCTACTAATCTTGTTCAAATCTATTACTATATAATACGGATAAGAAAAATTATTTGAACAATTTGAAAATAATCATTTCGTTTTCTCGCTTCAATATAGTGTTTTTTCCGCTTCTTCAATTCGTAAAATTTTTTTTGGATTTTTTTCAGCCCAGCAATTAGGTAACCAATCAAATCGAATCTTCTAGCATTTAATTTGTTAAGGTGTTCCGATTTTAGCATTCAAATCCGATTTCACTTCCTTTTTTTATGCCAATCAATTCAATTTTTTTGGTTGTTTCAAAATTTGTTTAGATTTATATTTTTATTTTATTAATATATTTGGAAGAGAATCAATAAATGTTTATCATAACTTTTATTTTAAAAATAAATTTGAATAAGCATACCTTTTACTTTATATGAAATTCAAAATTACATATTTTAATATATTAATAAACATTTATTATTTATTTTTTCCTTATTTGATATAATAGAATTTCGGTATTAAATTTATAAATTCAAACATTTAAAAGAAAAGATTCCAAATAATTTTTTTGGGTAAATTTCATTTTATCTTGGTTTTCATTATCACATTTCTAACAAACTAATTAGTATTATATTTTTTATATACATTATCTAACCGATTTTTTATGATACAATTAATATAATATCTTAACAAATTAATCATTTGTCTAACCGGATTTATCTCTCTAACAAACTTGCCAATTTTTTTAAAATTAAAATGGTATGATTATTCTTATGGAGATACTTATCAATATATTAAATATTTAGAAACTTTTTTTAAAAAATGAGTTATCCCTCCTTTTACTTTATTTGAAATTCTGACTTATATTTTTAAATATATTATTATTTATTTTTTTACATGTAAATATTTATTATTTATTATCTAAGTGATAAATATTATTGATTTATCTCTTTAATAAATATTTATTATTTATTTTTTTCCTTACGTGATATAATGTAAATTTGGTTACTAGATTTTTAAATTCAAACATTTAGGAAAAAACCACGAACAAATTTTTTGGTTACATTTCATTTTATTTTAACTTCCATATAATCACAATCCTAACAAACTAATTAGTATAATATTTTTTTACCCATTTTTATATAATCGGATTTCTTAAAATATAATTAATATAACATTTTAACTATTTAATCATTTGTATAACTTGATTTAACTCATTATCAAACTTGCCAATTTTTTTTTTGAAATTAAAAAAAAAAAAAATTGGAAAATTTTTATTTGTAAAATAATAAAAAATAACTTTACTTTAAAGTCTGGATTATTTCCATTATTTTTTGTACGTTAACAATCATATATTTTGGATTATTGATTTAAAAAAACAAATCAAAACTGTAAGGTTTAATAATATTCCTTAAATAAAAATATTGTATAAAGAAAAGTATTTAATATTATATATTTTTCATTGATTGTATTTATTTTATTTTCATAATAGACGAGATGTGAAAAATATAAATAATTATATTTAAAATAAAGTCTAAAAAATGTTTAAAATATGAACTCTTTCGTGCATCGCACGGGATATACACTAGTAACACTATACATGGTGTTGAACTAAGTGCATAAAATAATTGGAAAAATAAACATATAATATTACGTTCAAATTTTCAATTATCCGTTGGCAAATTGTATTCTTAGTTTTACTTTAAAGGATATGTTACACGACTCCATGATAATTTTAACATATTAGCTTAACACTCACATGCTACATGAAATTTATCAGACAATCATAATTTTTCTGTGTTATTAGTTTAATAGTGAAAAACGAATAACTTAATATATAATTAAAAATAGTCTTTTGTTTTTGGTAAGACAGAAATGATACAATATCAAAACGTTTGTTGTCTTTAAGCAATTTCTTCCAATCACAAGCAAATCCAGTTCAATTGTTCATTCCCATTCGCCAAAATGTTCAAGAACAATAGTAAAAGCTTCCAGTGGGTAGTGACCAAAGCAATCAATCTCCCGAATTAATAATACATGGACTTAAGCCAAAGATTGAATCGAGCATACAAGAATACGAGTAGATTACAGAATTCAGGACAAAGACTGTCTTCCATTGCTTGAAAAAACAGAAGGGTCATTATATCCTCTGCATATTAAGCTGTTCTCAAGGGAGGTGAAACCAATATGACACCATCTCCTCTAACGAACAGGAAAGGTACCGTGCGCCTCGTGGTCTGTCACAAAAACAAAAATCAGATGATGATGATGATGATGATGATGATGATGATGATGATGATGATGATGATAAACAGTCTTTCCCAAGTGAACCAGTAAAACAATAATAATGATAATCTAAAACCATGTTGTGAAATATTGCACTATTTACTTATTCAACCAAGGCAATGCATTCAACGTGAATAATCATCAGTTGCTGTGAGATCCAAGCTAATTATCAGTGCCTTTACTAATATTATTCCAAGGAAGATCTAAACTTCTTAAACGAAATTGTAGTACTTAGTATCCAGGGCTCGTAATTGATTATTACATGCTTATGGGCAAAAACATTAAATTCAAGCCTAGTAGTCTAGTGTGAAATCTTAAGATAAATATAGCGTACCCTGACAATTTCCTCATATGTCTCATCATCGATCTCCACAGTTGTAACGATTTCCTCAACATCACCCAGTATCATGTTTAAATGTTGATCATAAGCCTGAAAATCATGTCAAAATGAATCAGAGGAATGGAAATTTCTGAAGAAAAATGGCGAGTGATTAGATTTTACGCTGGAAGAACTTATTATAAGCGTTAGGATAAACTAAGGCCATGAATTGTCGATTTCAGTTATCAGATTTAAATCAATAACAGTTTCTGTAAAACAACTCAAACTTTGTATCAAGAATGAAGTATAAAAGAACTCATTTCACCAGCTCAAGAAAATAACTAATTCAAAGAAAATCAATTAAAGACAACCCACGATCAATCATCACTGCATTATCGAACCGCACAAAGGAATGCATCATATATGAAAGCTCCGATCTAAAAAAGCAGTACAAATCACGAAGCTATAAGTGACCCTAAAGTTCACAATAATCACCCTAAAATTTTGAACCGAAAGCTAAAATTAACCATTACCATCGCGCA